AGATAGATTTTGAAAGATACTTTTTCTACCCTTTCGTTTTACTCGCTATCAGCTTATTATGTTGGTAAGTTGATGTAGCTTCTGATTAAAAACTGCGGTAGTACTGTCTTCAGAAATATCAGAACTTACACCTGTCGAGTAAGTTTCACAGGAAGTTTTCGAACAAAGATAAACATGACAAAACAATTATCTTCAACTCCCGTTTGCTAATATCTATTCTTTTTGACTTCCGTATTTTCGATCAAGAACTTCGTTCTTCCAGAAAGCTCCTGCCATAGCAATCTAACGAATGACAGCGAATGAAACTCGTATCACAGAAGAGGCTCATTCCACTCCTACATGCCTGAAATTTAACTTGTCAAGTCGACGACGTTGCTAAGTCTCCAAAAACATATTTAGGTGCCTTGCGAGAGCCCTAGTTTTTAGCCTAATTTTTTTCTATAGGTTGATGTCTGTATAAAAGGCCAATCAAGAACACTTGGGCCCTAGCATCATTCAACCTGTAACTTTCGACTTGATCTTGTTAACTAAACAACTGTGTCTCTTTGAAAAGCAATTAAGCCTAACCTAGCTCTCTCTAGGCTCTCTTGCTTCAAATACATATGTATGTCGGGAATGCCTATAGCTAAAGAAACAAGCAGCGATAGACCTAGGGATCTCTAGTTTAAGCCCACCATCGGTGTACGCTATACAACAAGCAAATGACAAACGATTTACGAGTAAGAATGCCCTGAAGTCCTAATCAATCACATCAAATGACATAATTTTTAACGGCAGCTTTATTTTTGCTTATTTGTCTTAGGATTCAGCATAGCCTACATTCAATTTTTCCAATGCCCAACATTACCAATCATAACCTTCGGCACTGATAAACTACAGTGAAGAACGGGGCTAGATACTTATTCAAAGTTTACCATACCGCTAGACTATTGGCACCAGTGCACTAACGTTATTTACCGTTTTCTATCAAATTGAGCAGACCTAAAAATAGTCTCACATATGGCTATACCACACCTACCTGCGAAGTCACATGCTGTGGCATGGCTTTTCTAAAGGCTGGAAAGAACAAGCGGATATATTAGGATACGAAGCGCTACCACGATAGTGGGCAGCTAATAATATGGACCCGATTGAGGCGCCGCAGCAGACCCCACTTATAAGAAGGAGAAACGGTGACGGCATCCCGCTCACAGGAGTAACTCATGAGTTCATGATTTGTTCTTTCCGTCGGCATCCGAGTCACAATCTAATCGCGAGTTGTCTGTTACTCGCATTAAGGGTAACCCTCATCGGAGGGTGCCAGAATAGCTTGTTTAGGCTAAGGCCAACTTTCTAGATCTAAGCAGAGCTAGAACACCGCCCTCCAACCTAAGCCCGTAGTTGTGGAGGCTGCACCAGTAGGACCGCCTTAACATGCCCGACAGGGAACAGGCAGAGATGCGCAAACTGTTGGCTCGTATAGGCATCGAAGACTCTTACACACGCATACAAACCGACATAAGCCCGCGTTTTTGTACTGCAGTCAGTCAAACAGTTGAGACGGTAGCACCAGAACGGTACGAGAATGCTTCGTCGCTCAACAAGCACTTTGAGCGTTCGCTGGCTGCGCAGCCGATTTCCTCGCTAGTCATTGAGCATGGTTCTACAACTCCAGGCTTCTACCCAATATTGTCCTCTGGGCCTGGCATAATTGAAAAAGCAGAATAAGCGAAAGATTTGGACGAGTTTGGTCCGAAACGACACGGCCCTCGAAAGATTGCTTGAACCCATCATTCCCACTTTCGCTGCAAAGAATCGAAAGCGAAGACCACGAGGATACACCATCAGACGCCCGAGAAGATGCCGAACTTTATCGATGGCGAACGAAAAGAAACTATAAAGTAACAATTGCCAGGCCAAATGACAAAAAGCAACGACCCTCCGGGGCGACGGGGAAATAGGAATGTACTATATCGTTCATAGATGAAGCGGCTCGACACGTAGCGCTTGGATATCGCTGCTCGGCTTGACAGACTGAGTCAGTGACTACAAATTATACCGTACCAACTAGCCTGGTAGAGGCTGAGGGTGGCTTGACGGCAATCAAGATCTAGTATACACGTAGGAATGTATGATGAGTTTCTCTGGCAAAGAGGGCTAGCTTTCGGTAAGCACCAAACGTTGATTGTATGTATGGCCCTAAAAGAACGACTTAGAGTAATACATATGCGTATTTGTAAGAGATCTAAGATGTATCGAAAAAAACCAATTCGACATTTTTTTATTTCATACTTTTGGCCCCCTTTGCTCCGATTTGCTTTAATGCAGCGGGTGCAGATACCACGACAGCTAATGCTATGTGCACGTGGATCAGATCAGCTTTAATAGAAAGCTGATCTAATAGAGAGTTTCACCAACTATCAGCGATGCTTTTCTGGGGACCTTCATTTGAAAGGTCAGATATTGGTTTGTATCGATTTCCGACAGTGGCGCCCCCTAATAGCAAGAAATCTCATAGCATTAGCTCAAGTGCCAGGAGAACCAGCTTTCCAACGAAACAGGAAGGAACAGGTAAGCTTATGTCTGAATCCGAACTATAATATACCGTGTCGTCCATCTATTATATACCCACTTCCAATGATCAAAGCTAATCGGGCTGCACAACGGATGACCCATTGCTATATGGTTTGTAAATCTTCGTATTAAACTATCTAGCATGTGTAGACGAGAATTCCTTTTCCAGGTCTCTTTGTTGCTATAGGATATCTCAGCGACGAGAAGATGCTGAGCTAAAACATCCATACCAATCATATTTCGTGATCAGATTCTAATACGCTTTGCTACTCATCTTGCGCAGAGAAGTCACTGGATTTCTGACTGGTATAGACTGACAACTAGGCGTCTCCCCACGCATAGTAACGCGTCTCGCTAAATGCTGAAAGAAATGCGTTCTCAATTAAAATTGTAATTAATCTGTTCGTAAAATACGTGAACACGCTTGCATCAAATGATTCGTTAGTTTTCCGATCGATAGCACTTAACCTGCATCCTAGGTAAGGTTAGGTTATACTTTCGATCTTCCCCACTAATTCTGTATAGCCTGCGTAACCTCCTACTTGCTTCTTCGTTCATATGTTTTTAATATGCATATCATCTAAACCCGTCTGTATAGCTCTCCTCCGATCAGGTAGCTGTCAACGAGCTCAGACATACTGATTCTTTTAGACACAATCGTTGCTGTTATATCTATTTGGCATTTCCTGACCGTGATATTTGCTTCGCGCTAATAGCCGGAGTCTTATCATTAGTACTGTTTCCGCAGAAGTGGGAAATCAAAGCTGCTGTGGGTTTTATAAGACAGGAATTAGAGAAATTCAAGAAGAGGGTACAAATCCACTTCGGTAATTTTTCTTCAAACTCTGCTCTTTATGCACGCCCTTGTGCAACTCGCGCCACCATATGCATCGGTAATTTACTGGCCTCTCACTAACTTTCTCTATGCGTAAGTCTGCTCACTTGGCGACATGGCTTCCATAAAGGGCAACAGATCCGCATCGATGTTTACTCTTCCTCAGAAAAAAAGTCCGGTAGAGATCAGCCGAACCGTGTTTTAGCCAGTAGCGTAAAATGTCCTTTTGCGACAGGACGCTAATTCCAAGAACAAATTTAACCCTTCATTTCTATAATAGTGCAGGGCCAAATTAGGCAGGTTTCAGTGTAATCACCAGCTCATTTTGTAACGATAGCTGCCTAAGTAAATTAATCGCTTTACTCATAGTTTGAGTTAGCTTCATTAGTGCCGTAAGCGACCTATACGAACCGCTTCCCTGTCTGGACAATTCTATCCTAACGAAGCCTCAACACGTTCCGGGCGTACACACCTCGCCCTCCACTGTAGTACTAACCGTAAACGTACTATCCGACAAAATGTCGCCGATGATCATAATATAAGTTGAGCAATTATTATTATACGCTTTGTAATAATTTTTACTGAGCGAGCATCGTATGGCCACGGGCGACGACTGCTTCATAGGCTAGCTATCGTTTTAGCCTATGAAGCAGTCGTCACCTTCAAAAAAATTGCCTTCAATCGGCCGATGTATGGCAACTGACGGTCAATCGACGTCGGAGAGCTAAGGATCTGAAAACTGTGAAGTTCAATCGGTTCCAAACGCTGATCACAACCTGTTTTGACATAGTAAATATACTAGACAAATAAATGCGATAGTTCGTACATAACAGTGATGCTGAGCGGTGGGAGCACAGATTACGTTTGTCCAACAGTCAGTCATATCGCACTAACTTAGTATGCAGCTAATGGTAACGTATTAGCCCACCAAACTTAAGGATAAACGGGGCAGTCTAGATTCAAAATCAAGCTAAAACACTTCATTTCGTTATCTAGAGCAATTCGAGTAAAAATTCGAAAGGTTTATTTTTTGGAACTAGGTATATGCCTACAAATTCATGTTGTTAGCACGAAGTCTTTTGTCACCTCGATCCGACGATTACGCGTCTCGATCCAGCTCATTGACGATTGACGAATGAAATTACCTTATACAATTATTCGTTGCTCCCCACTTGAACCAGATAATTTGTTCAATTATTTCGACTGCAGCTGCTGAAAGCAAGTCTTCAAAAAAGAAAAAAAAACAATAAAACGCGCATTTGTGTGATTTCTGCTCCGATCCGCATAAATGTCAGAAATAGTTATGCTTTTCAATCAGCAGAAAAACTATGAACGAAAAGATACGCCGACATCCAAGCACAAACCGCATGAGGATGAGCGGCCGCAAAAAAGACCGCGATACCATTCACGTTATGCGTGTCGGTCTTGAATATATCTGTTGGTACTGGAAGTTGATTTCCAGTTCGTTGATGAGCTCGTATTGTAGCCAACACTTTCTTCAGCCAAGCTGCTTGAAGAAAAGGAACCCCTCTGGAATTTATCGGCCACGACGCCAGCGTTTCCGATCATTTTGTATGTCTTTGGTTTCCGACATTTGGTTGTATGGGGCCCTCGAGTCCTAAATACACCGCCGTCTACACGTCTTTCTCCCTGAGCTCAATCCTGTCGTTATTTTAGGTTATCTTAAATTGCTTACCCAGCATCATATATATATATATATATATATATATATATATATATATATATATATATATAATACTAACCCGGTAACATCTGTGTTAATCTTAGGCTTCTTCGTGGGTAAGTTTGACATGCAGTGACATCACGGTATCACGGAGTTGTCCACAATTCCGCTTTGCCCATAAATCAAACAAGCACAAATGTTAATGAACAATCTAATAATATCGTTGATTAACTTGAGGAGTGTTGTTTGAAGATACTTGGTTGTCAGCGGTACAGCTCTCTTGCCTAGCCTCATCGTTGCCGTAGAGTCTGTACTAATTATATAGATCTACTATTGACAAACGCCGGGTCAGCATTAGCAATTAAGAAAGTCGAGCTCTATGAAGATATTCACTTATTTGTTGTGCATACAGTTTGTCCTCTAGGGACATCGAATGGAACATGACGCGAAGTCGATAGCGCTCGTTCAATTGCCTTAGTGTCCATCCTTTGTCGCCGGTATAACGTCGCCTGTTGATGGGTTGACGCACGGAGGGCGGAGCTTCGACAGAAGCTCCGCCCACCAAGCCATGGCGGCACCTCTGTCAGGCGCGAAGATGTCGACGCGCTTGTTAACTAGCGCCGCAGCCACAGGTGCCAGTTGAGGAGATACGCTGTTCCCTCCGGTCCGGCAGCAGCGGGCCTATGAAAAACAACCGAACCACGTTATAGACCTTCGACTGGCCCAATACAACTGGTGCCAGATACAACTAAGCGCCGAAGTATAGCGGAAGACAACTCGGCCTAATACGAGAAGGATCTGTGTTCTCCACAGGAACAATAACAAAAAAAACTGTTTGGATACTGCGGAACTGAGGTACCGGAAGGACGGAGAACAGACAAGTTACGCTTAGTATTAACTTTACTTCTTCGTGGTTGCTACTAATGTGAGAAATTGTGCAACAGACGATCGAGTTAAAAAGTAATGTCACGTAACTTATAAAAAACACAACTACACTTGTTGATCCAGGTTAGCAAATGTCCTGCGATTACAGACAAAATCGAACAGTGTGAGCATGTACACTCTATCTGGACCTGCAAAGTGCTGAAGCGCATGGAGTAGTGAATATTAAACGATGATTTAAAGTGTACCAAGCCATAGCCGATGCAAATGTTGGTTCCATCGATTTCGATATTGTGCCGTGAACTGGGTTTTAGTTTCAAGCTCGACGCGAAACATTCGAGCGAAATAAGTGCAATTTAAATTTAGATGAAACTGCAGAACGTAGGTTGGAGTCATATGATTAACGAGAGTCTGAATTAATCTGGCTAAAACTCTCACCCTCCATTGCGAAACGCAACACAAAGTTACTGTGACCACATCGAATAGTTCCGTTTCGGCCATAATGGATCTAAGTTGTTCGACAGTGAATAAGGAGGACTCAAAATCCCCTTCACCTAGAAGTCCACCCCCAAAAGAAATCTCCGAACGTGAAACATCGTCCGAGGAACGACCATCTGGAAAGCTAAAAAGCATCTTCTCAGTGGATTCTATTTTGGCCCGTAAGTCCGAGTCATCACCAATTGAGTGCACGCTAAACAACCTCGACCCTCCAAGATCCAGTTCTCCACTGTCTGCCCGCTCAGGCCATTCTCACCCTCCCTCTTCGCCCGAGATTCATGTCGACGATGACGGTGATGATCTCAGCAGTACACCGAGCCCTGCACCGACACCTCCAACCTCTAATCCCTTCCTAGCTACTCATGTTTACCCATTACTGCCAGGCGTGTCGGGTCTGCATAACGTACAAGCCCTGGCCGGCCTCCCTTCGACAATGTGCGCAGGGGTTAGTGGCATGCCGAACGTGACGTCTGTCGGCGCTACCGCACTACTTCCAACGGCAACACAGAGTCTCAGCGCGGGCTGGATTACCTCGCCATTCGCCAGTCAACTGCTGACAGGTATCGTGCAAGTGATTCGTGCAGTGATAATGTGTTTGCTTATTAAAGTTGTGCCGGTAATGGCGTGTTTATCTGCTAATCTTGAGAGACATGTGATGGTGGTAGTGTGGGTTCGAGCCCAATCATGGACACATCTTGTTTTCTTTCTGGGAGCCAGCCATCTAATGGAACGTCTAATGCCGGTACTAGGCATGAAACGCAAAACACTTGCATAGCAAACTTAGGGTAATATGGGTTCGGAGGTAAACAAGTCACCGCATTTCGCGCTGTGAGAGGCCAGATATTTCAAACAATGGTTTCCACGAAGCAATCCGCTTAACGGTAGCTTTATGCGTAAGACTCGAAACACTTAGTTGACGCGCGCTAGTATGAAAAGGCCTGTTTCATATCGTACTTATGATGTATGCACGGGTTACCGGTCCGGAAGCATTACTTTCTTACCGATTGTAGTAGGCTTTAGTAAATAACTAGATCAATTTCCAGGGTTCAAAGCAATCCCTCCAGGTTTTTCACAGGCCAAATATCCAAGCCATCCTTTGGGCTAACCACGAACCGAGCGCTATAAACCAGCAAGCAAATTTCAACGCCTATAGAACAAGTGCTCCCTTTTCTGTCCATATTAATGGAAAATCGGCACTAGACAAGCACATGAAGACACTATGACAAGCAGCCTTAAGTAACCATTTCGTGCCAATATCAGCAGTGTTCAGCGCTATCCTTTGAACATACTGAATTAGTTAATGAAGTGTCTATGAGAAAAGAAGTCTCCTTCTAATTCGCGAAACGTTCACGTAAAAAACGGCGTGATACCTCTTTGTTGCAGCAACTGGCTCCAACCTAGAGGCCAACAGAACGTTTTGCGGATTGGTGCTACCTTAAGCGGCTTTTGTTCAAACCAGGTGTACATAAAATGACACTTTCGAAGCTGAGACTTATGAGCTGGCATTAGTTACTTGTTTTTCTTCAATGTATATTTGGCTTAGCTAGGGTAAAGTAAAGGTAAACTAGGGTAAGAGCGTTACAATAACTTGAACAAGAGACTGCAAATATTTGTTGATATCACAGGTACTGAATGTGTACCGTAATCGGGAATGTATCTATCTCCTGCAAACGTATCTTTTTTGAACAACTATCCGATCACAGAAGTTCCTTGTATCAGTACCACGTCTCAATTATTAGATGGTTACTCTAAGATTTCGACGACTGAGCTAAAGGTAACGGTGATTTGTGACGCCGAAACACAGTTCAACCTCCCTATATTTCGAAGAGTAAACTTCAACTTAGCTGTTACTTAGCAGCTGAGAGGGCATCCTAGACACTAATTTAGCTACAGACGTTGACAAAAATTAGCCAACTCTCAGAACCTGATCTAGCATGATGATAGCATCAAAACAGATCACTGTTAACAATTGTAATGAAACTTATCATTCAGTGCTGTGTCCGTCATCCGTATAAATCAGACGGTGCTGTACATTGTCTGCTGCGTATTAAGTCACGCACTTTTGAACAGACAAATAAATAGATAAAGGCATCACATACTAAAAAGATGACTCGCTGTAGAAATTCTCAAACAAAAATCATTCGAAAATCAAATCAAAAATGCCAGCTAACCCCTATCCTACTGTAAAATATTAGACAAGCCCCTGTATAGGCAGTAGATTAAACATTCTAGGAAGCCACTTTTGCCAGATCAAATACACATAAGAATCAGAAAACTAAATAAATAGATAAACTAAATGGGAAAAGAAAAACCTCTGAGCGGTATCGGTTTATCGTGGACGACTTCTAAATACTGCCAAGCTCCGATTTCTACAAAATTATTAAGCGTTATTACACGCTTTATCAAGGAAGAGTGAGTTACTTGTTAACATAATTTTGCCCGTCACATGATTGATTCCAAAGCGACTTCAGCACGATGTGACCACATTATTGCGTCCATACTCAACATGAGAGAGCCTGTCTAAGTGCGGCAATCGGATAAAAATAGTACGTTGTTCAATTATAGCCTAAACATACTCAGGCTCGTATAAGTTTATAACGAGAAATCACCTGGCTCTGTGTGCAGATATCATAGATTACTGTGTGCTAATTTAGCTATGATATTATACTCATTTCTTGAGGCCCTGTTTCTGTTAACTGCGTCAATTTGAAGCTTTGAAATAAACAATTATCCATTGAGCCAGAACTCAATTTTGACATAAAGGAAAAACTGTAATTGTAGTTAATGAACTATACCGCGCACGCGCAGAGAATATCTTCTTGAGATGAGGAACGGAGGAAATCGATCGTACAATCGCTCTCGATACTGATCTGAAAAATCAGCTGTTGTACAAATGTGCTCAACACATATGTGTCTAAACACACAATACGTTTAGCTGTTTTGACTAGTTAAAACAAGAACGTATGAGGATAAACTACGTTAAGCTGTAGCTATTTTCATTGCTTTTTCATAGGAACTTCCATACTATGCCTAATCAATAATGTAGGACAACAAGGCCGACACCTACGGTAAACAGACGGTCTAGAAATCTTCATCAGGTATCATGCACACATACGAGACTAACGAATATCGTTGCTTTTCGCTCTAGTCCCTTTCGGGCAAAGTCAATGTAACGGGCGTATCCTCAATTCTGCTCGATTTTCCTACAGTTTAATAGTTTCACCATATTGTCCTACAATGCATTTATGACAGAATTAAGGGCTGTTCACGCTAATCTATACCCGCATCTCCTTTATAAACAACGCCGTTAAGTAAGCTGGCCAGCCAGCCAGCCAGCCAGCTTATCGTTTCCTGCAGATACAGGAGAGATTCGTGAAAAAAACTTGCAAAAATAAGAAGCTTTATTATGGACTTGTGGCTGTCGGCGTTGCCATCGGCCCATCCGAGTACAGTTCAGTCCACTGTTCCTAGTATTTCATAACGCGCAACGCCTATTGATAATGACAGACCTATAATGCGGTACTTACAGTACCAGGCGGCGAGCGTATTTTGCCGCTGGTGAGTTTTCCGAATCATCATCGAAAGGTAGCAATAACTGGTCTAAAAGAGCGAGATAACGAGGCCAATCAACCTGTCGGAACGTGGATCGGTCGGCCGGTCCTTCGTTCGACTCGATTGACAGTAGAGTCCACAATGCACAACTGTTACACCGAAGGAATAGAGAAGCCAGGGGGAGGCCAAGGGGAGTGTTGAAAGAAGGTCTTCGGGGATGGGCCAGCAATAAAACGAAGCGACATGGCGGGAAGCGAGACAACTTTGTAAAAATACGCTATAGAAATGATTGTTAGACAAGGCTGGTCGGCCACTCCTACTGCTGATTTTGCTACTGCCGTTGATCATGCGGCCAAACTATCTATTCCATTACACCTACATATCTACTTACATACGCCGATGATACGTTACTGAACCAGCGTAAGGTTGTAAATGGTAATTGGGCAATGAATGCCGACGGCATCGGCGAACACGGCCGGGAGACCTGAGACGGTCGACGCCGTTTGGCGATTGTCGACGTACTGCTAAATGGCACCCAAAATAACTGTATATGTCTATATGTAGTGCCATATAATGTTGAACATATTGTTTCGATCTACTCCCGTTCGAATCTTCCTTACTCTTGCTTCGTAAAAGGTCAAACTGAATGTTCAGTGTGACAGAGGTTTCTTTTTATACAGTTCGTGAAAACGATTCTTCGATTCAGCCGGTTTGACGAACGTACTCTCCGATTATAGTTCTAAGTTCCGAATCGAATTGCAGTACTGCTAGTTAGCCTTATAATAAAATGGGTTAGAGAGAGCACATGTATCGTCACCTTTACACTAGAGGCAAGCCCCATGAGATGACCTCAAGCACCTATATGCACTGGTGATCCGTATGCGCAGTGCGTAATAAAAATTATTTACTCCATTTCTTGTAATTGATCTTCAGCATTCAATCAAATTACCAGTACTCTGCTCATACACCTTCAGTATGTTAATTGGTCGCCGAAGATTGGCCAATAAAAAAAAAGTCCATTGATCAGCTTTTATTTTTTGTCTATTTCGTTAGCACCCCGACGAAGCCATTAATCAACTGATGAAGTATCTGTGGTCGAGATGCTGCGCTTGTGAACCTAGTGGAAAGACTTCATCACAACGTAAATAAAGGTTAGAATAAGGCTCGAAAGTAAATTCAGGCCTTACATGAGTTCTAACGGGCTCTTATGTAGATATTGCTGGAAGTATAATCTAAACCACCAGACGAACATATCGCAAAGAAAACCTTCCATTTGCGCAGCTCGAACGAAGACTGACCACGCCGTGCGAGAATTCACCCAGCCTCAATTTAACAAGAAAAAAACGTTATCTCTCAGGGGTGTCCGCGGTCGTCATAGGACAGCTGTAATGATTCTCTAATATAAATTCTTCATATTAACTAATAGCAACTTTTAACCGCCATTTATTCTTGGGTCTTCCAAACGCTCTTCACTTTTCGCCACAGCACACCCACACAGTATCAGGCAAAAAATTGCATCCTGGAACCTAATGACGGCATCGACACATTGAACTGTGCATAAAAAAAAACTTCACGAATAACTATGGTAATTTTTTTAATACTTTAAGCATAAATTTCATTATATTTAAAAAAAAAATGTATAAATTCAGATAAGATAATAGCGAACAAAGAGCTTTATCGCCAAATTTATAATTTTTTTTTGTAATTTTGCTAAAAAATTTAATGATTTTAATTTTTTAAAAATTTTATAACTAATGAAAACTTCTTGCGGCGCCCGTATTTCACCACCAGGGAGATGCTTAGGGGTTCCGTTTAAAAATGACGCAAACCCCTATAAATGACGCGAACCGAGGATGTTTTGTAGGCAAGAACCATTAATACAGAGAATAAAAAAAGCTCACTTAAACAATATGTTTCTTTATTAACTTGAGACGCTGTGGCAAATTGCTAGCAGAATCGTTTGGTTTTTGAGAGTAAAGAAAGTTTCCGTGATGGGCAAGCTGCACTTTCCACTATCCTTACGAGATGATTGTTAATAGAAGTAAACTACACTAAATTTCCCTTAATCTTCTCGCTTGAAAAGATTAAACGTCTTTTAATGAATGATAGTTAGGAACGGATATACTTAGGGTTGCTAGGTTTCTATGCTAACGACAAGAAATTATACAATACATTATAGAAAAATATGTATTTATAATTGAAAAAAGTTAGTGTGAAGTCACGACGATGGCGCGAAGACGGTTCTCCAAAAAAAAAGTTATGTCAAGTTAATATAAGGTTACGAAAACGTCAATTTCACTAGTGAAAAATATCGCCTGCGTCAATAACAGATGGTCCTTGAGGTTCTCGAAGAGCCTGAAACCCGATTTTTAAATAGTCAAATGCTACCGAAACTACTGGTTCGTATAGCCTCCGATGAAATAGTGTTTTCACTTAGGCCATTTATATAAAGCAAATGACTTTTTAATCAATACAATGTATGATAAAAATTATACTCTATGCACAGAAACGCAGTTTCGTCAAAGCTGAACTTTTTGCAAAAAATTCAATATAATAAAGATCAAGTTACCTTATACTGTAATTATGGTACTATTATAGCGTTGGTACAGTTTTTTTTTTTTTTTTTTTTTATATTTACATCTCGGTTAACTTGATGTTTTTGTTACGATAAAAAGTGGTCAACTTATAATTCGTTTTGGAGAAACGTAGCCCTAGTGTTTTCAATACCCTTCGCGATATCAATGCCATTTCGGCACTCATTAAAAAAATGTCGTGTTTCACGCAACGATGCTCCTTCTCATACATACAGCGGAACATGCAGGACCTCTGCAAGTGAAAATTTGCGAGCTTTCCAAAAGTATAACCATCATTATAAGTAATTACTAAGTTGTCTCACTGTGTGTCGTAATTTATTTCATAAAAATGCCTGCACCGGCGTCAAGCACGTCCGTAAAGAGAAGTGATCACTAGTGACGCTCCAGTCTTTTCCTTCCGAAGAATTTCTACAATCTTGAAAATAAATCAAGAATTATCTGTCTTGTTTGCATTGAACATTCAGACGCTATTCACGTGTGATCTGACAAGCGAGGTACGAGCAAACTGGATAATGCAACCATGACCTCAGAGATAAGAAAGAGTCAATCCTGCATAGGAAACAGAAACCTCCCTTAAATACCTTAGAGAATTCAAACAATATTTGTTCGGATATACAAAATATCCGTGACAAAGTTTAACATACATAGATCCTTCTTATCTGTTGACATAAAATTAAATGCGCTAACAGAGGTCAGTTTTTATGAACGCATAGGAAAATACACATATAGATATGGGTATCCTGATATTCGAAAATTTGCTTTCTAATAGGACCATAAATAAGCATCAAGAGATAAATAAACGTAGTCTTGAGTTGGCAACCCGACTAAGCAACAGATCACCATTTTTTCAGGTAGCGCTGTGCTCAATCAGTTGCGATTGCAGGCATTTAGCCAAGGCGGTCCAACAGGACCTGTTCGTTGTCAACTTCGTCGGCACAAATCCAACCGAAAACCTCGTACTCCATTTACAACGCAACAACTTTTAACGCTGGAGAGGAAGTTTCGCGCCAAGCAATACCTGTCTATCGCGGAACGAGCAGAGTTTGCTAATGAACTTAAATTGACAGAAACCCAGGTATATATCCGCAATACGAGACACTGATACGTTCATTCACTTTGCCATACGTACATACAGGGTGCGTCAGAAGTTCGGAGTCTACTGTTAGGGGACCTTTGCTCTGTTCTGTGGACACCCGCAGTACGTTGTACTGAATACAGCATCTTCGTAATTTTAACTCACTATGCGAGAGCAGCAGTCAAATTTTCGTCTTATTTCCAGGTAAAGATCTGGTTCCAAAATCGACGTGCCAAAGAAAAACGCCTCAAAGAGGCCGAGGACGAAAAGAGACGGATGTCCCTCAGGCAGCAAGCACCCCAAGGAGCGCAACATTTAGCTGAACAGTTACTACCATTGACGTTGCAACTTCAAGGTTCTACAACACCGCATTCGAACACAGCCAGTCCTAATTTGCCGAACAATTTCGCCCAGTGGAGCACCTCTTCCCTCCTTCCAAAGGAGGAGAAACCTACTGTATCATAGATAGATGATAAACACAAATCAAGCAACTAGGGTAAAGTAGTTGGGATTTGATTTTAGCCTATTTATCTCGTAAAGTAAGCTTGTGCATCTAAGAAACACCTGCAACCTCCACAAAAAGCACCAAACACCTGTACGTTGCACGGATCACAAAAAACATTGAAGCTGGGCTCATTGTTAACCGGCATATTTTTTTTTTGTAAATTATCCTTAGACGTAAATTGGTTTGCTCCGAACTTATCTTTGCTTCTGTTGGGCAAAGCGCACACGATTAATATTAACTTGTATGCAATAACATCGATTCATGTGTACCCCATATATTTGATTTACGCATGACGTTTTTGAATTCGGAGGATAGATACCGTCCTGAGGTATGCTAGGGATATATGGTTAATGGATTATCGTGCTTTCACCATAATATATATATATACACATATCACTGTTAACCGAGGCCTGTACCGTAAATTTTTGCTAATACAACGTAGGCCGAGGTTGAGGAGCTTTACCACCAGTTGCCGTATTCATTGAACCACTGCGATCAGCGCCACAACTTCAACTGAATCACATCCAATGTAAAATACCTATGGTTAGAACCTGAGTTAATTAAACGATGGGCCATTAATCAGTACTTGATATTCACATCTACGACATAGACGTACAATCACATTGAAGTCGAATACATGAATCTTTTTGTACGGTTAGTGACAAGAACTCGAAATATAGAGACCTATTACGCGTATTATAATGGCCGCATCATTTGTGAATAGCTAATCACGATGGATATAGTCGTCATCAAATAAAAAAACTTTCCGTGATGCACTCGGTTCTTACGTTGCATATTCACATTAATGTTCCAAAAATCACCGACATCGATATGTTGTTAAAAGCTTCGATGGGTGACAAAAGTCTGGGGCTGGCTTACGAATGTGATTTCGTGAAAACGCAACACACGCCTTCTTTCGTCGTCGGTTGGAAACAATGATACATATAATCTCCGACTAAAATTCGATAGAGCTGGCGTAGTACGTGTCTAGATTTTTAAAACTGTCCTGTGAATCCCGCGCATAGTCAAACACAATGAATAGAAAGATAGGGTGCCACTTAAGCTACCCGCATTAGGCCTATTAATTTGGTTTTCGTGTCCATTGAGGCGTACGCGGAGTAAATAAATGGCGGACCATTTATTGAGTCTTGTCTACATAGAGGCGTAACTGAGTTGTGTGATTACGAAAATAGATGAGCTTCCAGTATACTCGATATCTCTCATCATTACCTGGATGACAGGTTTTTAACGCATGCTGGTAGGCTGGAGAAAATTAGTAAACAAACATATGGAACTTGTGAAACACATGTAGGTACAGCCTGTAAAACACATGTAGGTACAGCCTTGTAAAATACAGGCTGTACCTACATGTGTGTAAAAGGCAATATAAGCTGGACTAAAATATCTATTTGAGTATATGGAGGTGTTATTATAGGATATCAATAGCTTTGTTGTTGTTGTTGCTATTGTTGTTGTAAAGTGATCTTCTCTCCACGTTATAGTGAAGAGTTCAAAAAGCTGAAATGCAGCTTAAAATTTAAAAAAATACAGATATTTGAAGTTAATATTCATACCTGTTTGAAGGGAACACTGTCCTGAAGGCATATAGGTCTGCAGTTTTATTACCTTGGGTTTGCTCCAATAAATTTCTGGTGAAAGAAATAGGTTATAATTTTGTGTTAAAACGTGCTCCCCTATGTCGACACCATAGTAAGTTCTGATCTGTGTTTAATTTTAACATGTTTTTTTTTATTTCTCCAATCTATTTAAAGGCGATAACAGTAAAAGAATTAGCTAAGCCTCGGCTGCCACGCAATGGCAACAACTTGTCCGAAAAATAGATTTATGCATTTGGGTTGACCAACGATTGGATGAAGATGGTACACGTCGGAAATTGCGAATATTTTTGAGCTAGATTAGCTAAAACGTGTTCTTCTCTGATAACTTATAATTAGCTCTTTTACTGATAGCTTTCTACAAGAAAAGGAGAAGTCTAGTTGAGGCCTCATGGACGGAAATATCTGCAGTAATGCAAAGTTTTCAAATCATTGTTTATCAATAATGTCTTGTAGTGTTGGATCAATTAGGCGTTACAAAAAAGATATAAGCATTCTCAACTTAACTACAAACTTACCGTCTCTACATAATATTCAGTAATTGCCAAAAACCGTCCAGCCCGCTGTCACTCTTCCCGTGTGCTGAATGATCTGTCTTCTACTCAGGACTATTGTCTTGTTCGTTATTTGCTACTTATTACATCTACATGTTGCGTAACACATAAATCAACCAGCAAGCCTGTCAAATTCAATTATATTCAGAATTTTTCGGATGAAGACGGTTAATTGATTTTTCTAAGTCAATACGAGCTTGCCTCTATATGCGTAGAACCATTAATTGAGGACAATCGAACCGCGTTTACTTTTCATTAGAGTTGAACCATTGCTTGCACATTACATATTTATAGCGAAAAAAACTTGAACAAGCATGAAAGAGATTCATTAAAAGTAACGTTTGGTGTACTATATATACAGGAACACTGCATATTAGGGGCATAAAAATATACCTACGAATTAAGCCCTTACATACATTATGCCTGTTTCACATATTTCACCTGACATGAGTAGGCTAGGAAGACGAAAATAGTCGATCTTTCGTGATTTTATTTTGCAACGACCAAGTTATGCTTCCACCCGATAAACCTGTAATATCTGATCAATATTACACGTACACCTCTGATAGAAATTCAGTATGGCCGTAATACGAAAAAAAACGATTATCACATTTAATCAATAAGTTCATTTTAGTGTAACGGAATAATTAATTACCTATATAGTAAAACTAATAGGGCACAAACATTAATTTTTGTCAAAATTAAAGCTAATCATTATTTAGGTTTTGGCTCCCTTTTTCTAGGGGTGGAGGTGAGAAACGGGCTTATCGATCGGCAAACCTATACACCGATTGTTGGAAATAACCGTGAATTAAGTTCTGGTCATAGCCTCACCGTTGCGTAGTAAAGTAAAAAGCTTAGATGTTTTTGCCGAACGTACCGATATTATTTTTAAGGTGGCTTAGGGTATTTCGTCATAAGCACACGCCTGGCTAGCTCATGGGCATTGTTACAGGATTAAAAAAAATATTGCTGTATTTGTCTTTCATCGAAGGATATTCTATAAGTTCTCCTTGGGTATTAATTTCCACTTCTTCTGTTGTTCCTTCCATATCAAGTGAAAGCAAATCCTCCGGTTCGGCTACAGAAACAAAGAACATCTTGAAGTTTTGGAATTAACAAAGAAGAATATTAGACTTCCCTAAAAAGGCACAATCAATGCATAGTTCGTATCACAATCAAGATTTTCAGGTTTCGTAAACGTGTGTATAAGGGCATTTCTTCCTGCTTGCAAACTTCTTGTATATGCTGAACAGCGTACTTGAGTTAAATACAATATGCAACACCATATTGCCGTTGCATTCAATTATTTAATAATTAGTGTGCTATTATCGAATACGGAGATAAAATGCATGATTGAAGGAATTTCTAGGCTCCTTTTTGTCTAAAAAATAGTGTATATTTAGAACTAGAATCAATGATGAATTCACTGGACTGACCCCGGATGGTCCTACTGAATGGTCCTACGTGTTGTTTTCCTAGGTGAGCTAACCTCGAGATCCGACTGTGTTACGCTAGACATCGCCGATTAGAGCGCAGAAAATCTAGAATAGAACATCTTAGGGCTTGCTGACCACATATGGCATACTAACTGATCTTATCAAGCGATATCTAAAACCAAACGGTGAAAACAGAGTATAGGAAACAGAGTATAGGAGGAGTCTAAATGAAAAGGTGCTGGAACCTTTCAACACATGGGGGTCAGTTGAATGTCACGCGATGATCGAGAATTGAAAACTTAGGGAAGCAAAGCATGGTCAAGGAGAGCACAGTAATAAATGCGCATAGGCAGCAAAGCCATTTACACCTCTGTATGCTGAGACCTGTATCCTGCGGAAAGGCAATTGCAATTTGTCTCCAGTTCAGGGACTCTATTTTCCATAATCTATGCAAAAACTCGTCGTGAAGCGTAAGCAACAACAGAGTTATGAAGAATGCAGAGGCACGCTCGATAAAGAGAATCAGCTAAAGACATGTAGCATCTCTAGGGATTGCCAATCTTCTTTAGTGTAGCAGTACGAAACGGCTATACGAATAAACTCCGGTGCTATGATAGGTCACGCAAGTGTTTTGCCTCGAAAACGACCGTACTCTATATCGTGGCAACATTCACTAAAAGAAATATTCGACTCTGATGATGGAATTAAGGCTTACGTGTGCCTCCTATGAATATTAAGCCTCAAACAGGATTTTTTCTGCGGAATGTAACCGCTGTAGCTCGGGAAGTCTGATATCGAATTGGTTAAAAAAAAGTACATACATTGTACATAAGAAAGACATATCAATATTAAGAATCACTGTTAACACTTAGCTATTGAATTTTATGTATAATGAAGTACCCTAACGAGAATGGCTTACATATGTCGTTCGTCATTTATCTCTTAGTAAAAGGAGGCTGCATGTTAATAATTTGATTGCCCGGAGACGTGACTAGACAAGTATGCTGAATAAATATACACAAAATAAAAATACCCGTAATTTATCCGTTATCAGCTTCTAGCAGACATCGTCCTTTTGATAACTAATATGATTCTTGGAATATGAGTCACTACTTTTGTTGATATAAAGCATTATAAGGATTTTTAACAATGGAATAAGCCAGGAAAACGTTTGCTAAACCGAACTTATTAAATTCAGAAATGATCTCTTCGACCCCTCGCCAACAGCAGGCATACTCTCGGTTTCCGTGCAATAGGGGTGTAGCAATTTCTAGAAGCGTTTACCAAATTGAATTATGTATGACTAATGAATGGTGTAAGAGCTTGAAGGTAACTGTGTGTATTACATCATTGCACATTACCTCAGCATTGTACGACATCCCGAATGAAGAACTGTAGTAGTACCGCTGTATAAAGGTACATGTATGCCGCCTTTTTTTCTATGAAACTCTTTAAACAAGAACATGCCAATGGATTTAATCGAAGTGTGACTTTTGTTTCACACTGCCAGCTTCTCAGTTCGTATCACACATTTCAACCGGAAGATACTTAAATTTTAAAACGGGTTATATCTTTCGTAAAATTCCTGCTTCATCTGACAAAGGTAAATGACAACCCCCGAGTATGTTTTATGGCATTTTCACAATTCAAAACATGTTTTGCAGGATTTGGCTATTCTTTAGGTTGTGCGTTTTCATGACGAAGCATACCGGACTGATATAACAGCTTATTAAAAACGTCAGTAGCTTACTGTTTTTCAACCAATCCTTACGCCTTTGTTGAAGACCAACGATGTCTCCGGCTCATTTGCTGCTGGACCCCAATGTGAATAGGCAAGAACCGACAGAAGCTGGAAACGTGTGCTCCTATATGATTTAGGTTATACGATATAGAAGCATTAGTTGACCCACAAGTGCTTCACAAACAATTTGACACATCTAAAGTGGGCCAAAATTCGATCGGCTGTTTGCTGTAGCATGCATGCGTTCATCCTCTGCTCTTGGCATCGAAAGGAAACCAGTATTTTCTAGAACACAATTAAACATTTGTTATGGTGGAAAACAACACGTGCTTTCCGTATTTTGAGCGAAAATAAACTATATTGCAATCTCTTCGACTTCAAAAGACTCGTCCATATTAAAAAACTTCCTTTTTGTCTAAAATTGACGATTTGTGTTCAAGGAAACCGGAAGATCTTCCTCTGTAGAGTTTAAATCTTAAACTAGAGAATTAATGAGAAATGGCCTTGAAGTTCATTTTTATAGCCCTGGACTTTTAAGGCAGAAATCAACGGCCGTTTTGAAGCAGAACATTCTGATTGTCAACTAGGTCTGTTACCTAGATAAGTTCAAACAATTAGTCTTCTTTATGTTTTTCGCTCTTTCGATCGTTTTAAACTTTTACATTTTGCGACTTTTAGTCTCCTATTAGCTCAAAAATGAATTCCACTATAATTTTGTGTATGTAGCACATTTAATCGACACTTTCACGACTTTATACCTATTACTATCGCTCAAGTCTCCCACTACCTGTGAATATGCGTTTCGCCCTTTATATGCACCTATATCGCTTCAGGTACGGTTCCTATTTAAATGTTGTTTGCGAACTGAAGAGTAAACATTTTAAACATGACTAGTGAGTAGTTTAGGCTAAACTGTAATCGTGGTAAATAGTGATTATATAGAATAAGACCAACCGGAATAACACTTCTAGCACATGCAAAAATATTTCCTTAAAATATTTAGCCTTGTTTAGACACAATTTTAAAAACAATTCAAAGAGAAGTTCCCACTTGGGGTGAGTATTCTGTATATATAAATACACTATTCTTACACAAAAGTTCCTTCATCTACGTTACAGTTTATGAATAATCGGATCTATTGTTTAGATGGCACATACGACATAAAAGTGGTTCGGTTTAGTTTTGACGATATTGGCAAAACTGTTCTTGATTATATATCTGATTTAATCAAATTATTGGAGCTCATATGGATATTTCAATTTTAACATAACTTCGTAACTTCGAATGATTACTCTATGACACTATGGGAACAATTCTATCTAACCCAATGCAATCTAGTTTGATTGCATTAGCAAGGTTCGATAAGAAAAAAAACTATAAAAGTTTGCTTTAATGGTAAAGTCAGTCATGTTAAGGCTATAAAAGTTTGCTTTAATGGTAAAGTCAGTCATGTTAAGGC